TATGTAAGGGGTGATCCTCCAGTATCTGTCAATTGGACCAAGAATGGAGAAGCTCTTGGTAACAGCAACACATTAGTCATTAAGTGGGTGACTATTGATGATGAAGGTATCTATAAATGTGCTGCTGAAAATGAAGCTGGAAAAAATGACGCCACCTTCTGGATTGATGTAACTGGTAAGTCAAATTCCAATTAACCTCAGCATTTTGAATGTTTATCAACCTTTCTGGAACTGCATTTGGCTTGACAGGAAGAAACTGGATAACTCAAATGTGAAGAAACTTAAATACCGGCTTGCATTATTTTTGTCTTGAATATTTGTAAATAGAATTTCCACAAGCCCAATTTATTCATTTGTCTTTGATTTGATTACCTCACCAATATTGATATCTAGAAAAGGAATGGAAAGTCGCCTTAATTATGTTGATAACAAGCAATATTCTCATGTAAATAATGTCTTTTGGGGGTAGGGAAACTTACACAGTAGAAATGTGATATCTCCGATCCATTCTCATGCACAGTATGAATTCAAGGTAATGTCTCTTATCCCACAGAAATTAATACATGTATGGTGAGTGGATTCTAAAATCTGATCCACATTTAACCACTGCAAAATGACCAGGACTGGTTGTCCAATTGTATCTTCAGTTGATAATGTTGGTTGAAGATTATTGGTGTTCTTCTTTTATTTGTAGTGTCTCCTCAGATTATATTGTCTCCAGTAAAGCAATCTGTTATCAATGGAGACCCTCTCAACTTTACTTGCCGTGCCTCAGGTGTTCCAACACCAAAAGTGACCTGGACATTTGATGGTGGTAAACTTCCGTTTGGTATTAATCAAACCAATTTTGAGGGAGACTTATTCGTGGAATCATTCCTGGAAATGCTGAACACAACAAAGGAAATGGAAGGACTATATGAGTGCACGGCAGAAAACAAAGCAGATAAAATAAATTCTTCAGCAACACTTCAAGTTTTTGGTACGTTTAATAAAAATGATAATGATTGTTTAATTATGAATTTAACAATGATTATGATATTAACAATTGTGGATCCACTGTAACAATAATCTATGACACCTTCCTCTCTTGAGTTTATCTCTTGTGCTGATGCATGAAATAATACTCAGAAATGGAGAATAAAGTCTAAAAGTGAAACAGAAAATAACTGAGAACCTGTTAAGGCTGGTTTTTGTAAAAAATTGTTTTGTATTTGATTCTCAGTCATACTTTTGGAAATCATCTAAGACAAGAAAGCCAGTGCAAGCAGCTACATGTTTGGGTTTAAGGACAATTATGTACAATTATGGATCTGGGGAATGGTTATTTTTTGCACATGTGCCATTCACCAACTGTTTGGGGTGACCTCTTTATGAATTTTTTTTTTTTTTGAGCTCTGATCATTTTGATCAGGAGGCCCTATGTACAGTTTGAAAACAGATATATTTTTGAAGCCAGGTTTCACCAACTTATAATTGCCATTCAGAGGCTTGCTTTTGGATTATTTCGTGTCCACGATAAATGTGTTACTAAGATATTGCGAGTGAAGCTTTTTTTTTTGTTAGACTTAACAGAAACGTGTCTCTTTTAACACAGAAAAACCAACCTCTCAAATAAGGCCAAATCCACATCCAATGCTCACTCCAGGTGAAGAGCTCACATTGAATTGCATTGTTAATAAGGCAACATTAAATATCACTTGGAAAAAAGATGGAGACCCAATAAAAGCAAGCGCAGTAATTGCTATGATATTGAATGAGACAACAAGCTCTCTGCGTATTTCAATGGTTGTGGAGGAGGACAGTGGTGAATATTCCTGTGTAGCTCGCAACAAACCAGGCATTTTGGCCCACTCCACTGTGATGATAACTGTCAAACGTAAGCTGGCATTATTGTATTGTCTATCATTTGCCATATTAAATGTCATTCATTTTTCATGGTACATGCTCTTTTTTTGTATTCTTTTCAAACATGCTCCAACAAAGTTTAATTTTCTTTTTGGCAAAAGAAGAACACTTTCTGATACTCTCCTAGACCAAAATTACATTTGGTCTGTCCAATATACTTATGATCACAGTCATTGCACAGAATATAGAATAAATAGCATCAGTCCCAATGTCTTAATGGAATTGTCTATACCAAAACATTTCTCCGTTGCAACTAGTAACACTCCTGATGAGAAGGAACCAGCGACTGGTTTTGCTGTTATTCCTTACATCCGGGGTGTTACAGAGCCCATCAAGAGAATTTTGAATAACCACAAAGTTAAAGTTGTTTAAAACCTTTTTCAGACTTTGGGGCATATTTTTGCCAAACCTAAGGATCCTGTTACAAAAGAACAACAAACTGGTAAAAAATTGAAGATGAGAACATCATTTTAATTTGAAATGTCGGATGTTTCCTGCTCTGGCAATGAGTTGAAACTTGTATCTCGAGTTCACATAAATGGAAAGTCAAATGTCCCACAAGGCTATGCTCTAAGACAAATTGAAGAGAGCCCAGTGCTCAGAAACTGCGAAATCCAGGGTGCCCAGCATATGCTTCTTATGAAAAAACTAAGATTCCTGAGTCGCCCAAGAGCAAAAGTAAGGTGCCAGGGGCCACCATGTGCTGCTAGACCACAGCCCTGTCCCAGGTAATTATGGAATGGATATGGCAAAAGTTTTTTTACTCTTGGGTCAACTAAGTAACATATTGATAGCACGTGCAGAACGAAATTCTTCAAAGTTGCTGACTTGTTATTTGTTTGCAGTGTTTGCATCCAAGCTCAAGATACAAATGTACCTGTGAAGATAATCTCATCGTCACTTTTTTAAATTTTGCTTTTTAGTTCCACCACAGTTAAATTCTGGACTCAAGAATCGTTCAGTTACATTGAACTCCACATTTACAACACCTTGTTTTGTAAAGGGCAGTCCTCCAGTATCTGTCAATTGGAGCAAGGATGGAGAAGCTCTTGGCAACAACAACACGTTAATTATTAAGCACGTGACTTTTGATGATGAAGGTTTCTATGAATGTGTTGCTGAAAATCTGGCTGGAAAAGCTAACTTATCCTTCTGGATGGATGTTACTGGTAAATCAAAATAAATTTATTAATATTTACAAACTGCACTCCGTAAGCTCATGATGTGGAGCCCTGAACTGCCATGAGTCACGTCGAGCGTTCAACCTTAGACCTGACTACCACTGAGGATCTTTAAATAACTAGGAGAATGTGCCAAGTGTGCTATGATATTTGTGAATAGTTAGACATTCTAGTATTCACAGATAAGGCCAATAGACTGTAGGCCCTGTCTCCCTCATCTTCTCTGTACTGGTTAGCAGGGGACGTTAAAGAACTCAAGAACTTCTCACAAAGAGTGCATGTAGGGAACATAGCCCCCGGTGCTGTGGTCTGACCAGTCAGTATATGTAATTTTTTAACATGCTTTTGTTCATGCTAGATATTTAAATAGGATTCTACAAACCAAGTTTATTCATTTGTTTTTAACTTTGACTTTGATTTGCATGCTTCATGATATTTACAGTATTATGTAAATAATATACTAGATTACTCTTTTCATGTTAATAATATCATATTAGATAATATAATTATTAGCCTACTCTTTTGATGTTAGTACTGTCGTTCAGGATTGAGGGAAGCTCACTCATTTGAAATATAATATCCTCCCGACCTATTCCCATTCACTGTGTGGAGGTGATTCTTTTAATTCTGGAAATATGTATGGTTAGGGGACTCCAAATTTACTCTTACATCTAACTACTGCCAAATTACTTGTGATTGTTTGGTTGTATCGTAAGAACCTTGGTTGAAGATCACGGTCTTCTTTTTATTTTCAGTGTCTCCTCGGATTTTATTGTCTCCGGTGAACCAATCTGTTATTGATGGAGACCCTGTCAACTTTACCTGCAGTGCTTCAGGTGTTCCAACACCAAACATAACGTGGACATTTAGTGGAGGTAAACTCCAATTGGGTAATAATCAAAAAAATTTTGATCGAGACTTATTCATGGAATCATTCCTGGAAATGCCACGAACAACAAAGGAAATGGAAGGAACATACAAGTGCACAGCAGAAAACAAAGCAAATACAACAAGTTCTTCTGCAACACTTCAAGTTTTTGGTAGGTTGAATAATAGTTATAATAATGATAATGATAATGAGGATAGTGATGGTGATGATGATGATGATGAGTGTAATAATGGTAATAATAGTAATTGAAACTTAATAGCATTAGGGTAATGATGATGATGGATCCTCTTTAACAATTATACAATTCTTTCTTCTTTGATGTTATCTCCTCTACTAATGGGTAAAATATGAGGTGTAAATGTTGGCTCGTCTGAAGGTTGACCAAAAATAACTGACACTGTGTTGAGACTGGTTCTTATTATAATTGTTTCGAGATGGAGTCTTGATACCCCTGGAGTCTTAATACCCCTGGAAATTTTCGAAGAAAATTTATTGAAAGGGTTGAAATACTAACTTGGGTGTAAGGTATCTGGGAAAAATACTGTAATGAGTTGTGAGAAGCATAGTTGTTGTGCAGGTGCCATTAACCAATTGTTTGAGATTACTTTTTTATATGATCACTTTGACAGTTTGTCATAATTTTATGGTCACTCAGATCATTTTAATCCAATAGATTTTTATCAGTACAACTATTTGTAACATTGAATGGTGAATTACATGTCATGAGACTATTTATAGCAACAAAGGGCTGGGTGAGATAGGGCTGGGTCTGGGGTTACTAAAAAGCATCTTGGAAGTTCTGTTTAGGGGGTTGCTTTTGGATTGCTTTGTGTCCATTTTTAATTATTGCCTTACTAAGGTATTGAGAGTGAGTTTTTTTTCATAAAAAAAATTGAGATTTGTATACATGTACATCATCTCCTTTTCAACACAGGAAAACCAACTGCGGAATTGAGCCCAAAACCATATCCAACCCTCACTTCAGGTGATAAGCTTAGGTTAATTTGTATTGTCAACGAGGTAACAGTAAATATCACTTGGAAAAAAGATGGAGACCAAATAAAGAAGAGAGCCAACATCTTTACGCAATCGGATGAGAAAAAAGGTTACCTGCATATTGCAAAGGTTGTGGAGGAGGACAGTGGTGTATATTCCTGTGAAGCTCGTAACAGACTAGGAAATGTGGCCCGCTCCACTGTGACAATAAGTAAGCTGACATTATTGTAGTTTCCTAGAAACAATCTATTATTGAACAGCAAAGAATATTTCAACTTAAATGTAACCTGAAAGTTTTGCATTGTTTTAATCATGCTGTTGGCTGCCTTTTTTTTTTTTACCAATTTTTCATTTCATTCATTCATAATTTTTCATTGCGCGAGGGTGAAGAAAAGGTTTTGCCAACTTCAGAATGATTTTTATTCCATAGACTAAAGAAATGGTCAATTAATTTAGAAACTCAAAACTTTTCCTTAGTTTGTTTTTTCTTGATCACATATACTTTGATTTATAATAGAAACTGATTTTCATAATATTTAGTCCTAATCAAGCGGAGGCAGTTGAGATGGAACTGTTGAATGTGGAAGTGGATGAATGGGAGATTGAAGTGAAGCGTGTTCTGCTTCAAGAGGTCATTGGGCGAGGGGCATTTGGAGCAGTGTGGAGAGCTCTTCTTAGTTCTCCAAATGGGAGGCCTGGAAATCGCACAGTTGCTGCTAAATGCTTCACACGTAAGATCCAGTCAACTATTTCTCCTCAAATCACGTAGATAGGTACTTTACAGCCAAGGGGTGGCTTGTTTCGCACTTCCAATGGTTGTTTATCTCGGATCAACTAAGGCTCTCTGAGAGATTCATGCAAAGTCATTCTTAATAACAACGAAAATATAAGCCTCAGAATAAATAGAGCGTTTGAAGATGGCAAGCGTGTGCTTTAATCGCAAGAAAGGATTGGATCACTAACCAGTTCCATTTTCGCAGGTGTGAGCGCCACAAACTCAGCTTCAGAGACCTAAAATGTGAGGTCTAAATCTTGACCCAAAGTTTTCTATTCTTAACCGCGAGAAAATTGGTCAATAAGTTTTCCCTGGCTATAAAGTATATTGTTTATTGTAGCTACTGCAGGGGAGGAAGGAAGGAAATGTTTGATGAGAGAGATCGAGCTGGGAAAAATTCTCGGTGAAAGCAATCAGCCCAACATAGTGAAGTTCATTGGCTGCGTCACCAGACAAGGTACATACTCAGTTTAAGGTATTATTCTTGGTATATGCAGTTACATTTTGACTGAGTGAGATTGTTACTTTTGTTTGTTTTCGTTTTCTTGTTGTTGTTGTTGTTGTTGTTGTTGGATTTATTTTTCCTTTTGTGTGTTATTTTAAGTTCATCCAATCCTCATCATGGAATACTTGCCATGTGGTGACCTGCTTGGTTACATGAGAAAGTGCCGAGGAATTAAGGATCGGTATTATCTTGGAGAAGGAAGAGCTCAAGATTTGGAAAACTATGACCTTGTGTTATTTGCCAAACAAATCGCAACTGGTATGGTATTCCTTGGATCAAGGGGAGTAAGTAGACAAAATGCTTCTACATTCAATGTTGCCTCAAACAAACAGTAAGGGATTTTTATACCTTGTGATTGTCTTGAATATTGATAAATCAAAATTCCTAGTCATGCTGACTTGCTTGCATGAACTTTCTGTTGAACCTTCAAGAGTATTCTGTTAGGCTTTATTGTTATTATGTAATCCTACCGAAATCTTTGAGTTGTAAGCCTCTGGAATGTTGCGGACTACTTTTAAATGTATATAAGGACTTAGTCGTGTAGTAGGAGTTGATGCTGTTGTCGGAAAAGACCGCCTGTCCGTTATACCAAGATAGAGAGAGCTGCTGTGGAAGACTGTTCATCTCAAGGAAATTAGGAGAAAACTGTAAAATTGAGTTGGTGGTGAGCTGAGATATACACTGTAGTTTCTAGAGGGCTTGAGTAAGCTATTGAGGACACTTACTGTCAGTATTGTCTAATTGAGTCGCTCCTAGAATATTACAAGTTGTGTAATAAAGTAGTTGAGTTTGCATGATTGCAATTTTTTTCTGTCGGTTGAAATTTACTGTTTACATTTTGGATCTTTGTCTTTCGGTAGATAATCCATCGTGACTTGGCAGCTCGGAACGTCCTCCTCGATAACAACTATGTGTGCAAAGTGACCGACTTTGGCATGGCTTATCAAAACTTCAAATATGGTCATGGAAATGCCAAAAAGGTAGAAGATCTTCTTTGTCTTACCTTTTCTACAGTGTCACTTGCGAACAGATTCCTAAGGTTAACACTAACTCTACTATGTTTGTTCACTTTACTGTTTTAAATTTATGACAACTGCTAAATTTTTACTTTATAAAGTCGCGGAGAGTGCACCACCCCCATGAAGTGCCAAACAAATCTTAGTATTCAAAACTGTAAGCAGGCTTGCCCTTTCTGATAAACCGGTATAAAAGCACTGATTTTAAAAACCAACTTGTCGTTGCAGGGCTGTTTGCCAATCAAATGGACTGCACCAGAGATTTTGTTGGGAAATCTAGCTGGACTTTCCACCATGAGTGACGTGTATGCATATGTGTGATGTATAGTCCTCTATTGAGCTGCTTCTCTCTTTGGTTTTTATCTTTACAAGCTAATATCCAACACTCACTTGGCAATATTTTTTTTTAAAATATTTTTCAGGTGGTCTTACGGAATCGTTCTGTATGAGATAGTAACCCTTGGTAAGTCAAACTATGTTCAATAGCAAATATTTTTACTTCCGGGCCGTCCATGTCTAGAAACGAGGTAAGTATCGTTCGTGGAACTCGTTAATCAGTGTCAATGCCTCTAAGACTCAATTGGCCGACGTTGGTTTGATGAGCTGTACCAAACAGATTTGTCTTGCCAAAGTTGACTGCAATGATGACTCGTGCTCAGATTGTCAAAGCTTGATTGTTGTTATTTCGGGACTTTCCTCGCTCTGACTATCACACAAGGCGAATAGCATTTTGTGTGCAACTTGAAATAACAAAAAAACTCCCATTTTTTACAAATTACTTGATAGAAAAGTGGCTATCTATTGTATCAGGCTAGGAAACACCATGTTTTGAGTGCTCTGCTCAAGCATCAGTAGTGGATCTCTCTCAGATTTAATTCTCAGTATTTTTAAACGAAATGTTTATGAGTATCAAGGACATTTTTTATTCATTCCTTTACAGGAGGAATTCCGTATGAGGGATGGTCAGAAGGCAACGTAGTTGCACAGGTCACTCGTGGCTACAAACTTCCAAAGCCCGATCATGTTGATGATAAACTGTGAGTCTTGCTTTATCAAGTTATATAACACCATGGCTCATTTTAAATTCCTCAATCGCCCCCTCCTTCGCGGAAAAACATTGTCTTGTGTCTAATCTGATTTCTCCTCTCGTTACTAACTCTGTTAAATTAAAAAAGTTAGCAGTGGCCATCCGCTTTTTTTGTAAGAGCTTTCTTTTCACTTTCAACATTTTTGAAAATATCAATTTTCCGCTCCTATAGCCAGGAATTCTTAACATTTAACCATTATATAGCAAAGGCTTCAAGATTTCTGGGTTGATGGTTATCACTTAATTATTAAAACACAGTCCAGTATTGACCTTCATTCCTTAATTCCAGGTATGCTATAATGAAAAGATGCTGGAATTTTAACCCCGACTTTCGTCCTCCCTTTGAAAACCTTCGCAAAAGAATGGATACCTACCTTCGTGAAGAGGTTTGTAGCATGATTTGAACACGTCCTTCACATAGTGCTCAGTGATTATTTAACCCTACCTGGACCACTGATTCTAACAGATTAATTGAAGAGATGTGGGATTGTATTGGTTTCATTTAACTTCTATTGGGGCAGCTTGCGGGAATTTTTCTGCTTTGAGCTTTTATTTCGAAGGCTTCCTGCTAGTAGTTAAGTTTCTTCCTATTTGTTTTAGCTTATCAATGTTATTTAAGTTTTGACTGATAAACACTCTTAGACATAAAGCACGCTAAGATTTCTCGTGCCAATGAACCCCCATCAATCTCCATTCCTGCCGCCATTCCCTCTACTTATCTTCTCTGCCCAACCTTCTGTGCCTTTAAATCGAGGGTCCTTTCTGACGCTTTGTGACGCTCATGAAAAACCCTTTTTTATTGCTTTCCCCTTTAGACATATCTGCACCTGCTCGACATGGGATCTTATGACACGACCAAATACTCCAGGGTTGAAGATCGCGGAAACGAAGATGCCGAACCAACAGCACAAGCTACAACGAGCGCCGCGGCAAAGAGATTGGGAAAATGGGCCAGCGATCGTCGTTAGACACTGCTATTTTAAATACTGCTTAGGAACCTGACCGCTTGGGTGCATTTCAGTCACTTTGCAGTACATCAAGTAGTAGAAAATGTGTATTGATGACAACGGTGATAATTTAAGGGTCTTATTGCGTTAGAATGAATCAAAGCTGTGTCCTTAATAACAAACTTTTAAGTCAGCTTTTTAGGAAGTTGCAATTGATAAACAATTCAATATTGATCCAGGTGATTAAGCCAGGATTAAAAGAAGAAATAAGAAAGTAGAAAACTGCCGTTTATTTCGATATCTGTATTAGGCAAACTGTTTATTCCTGTTATATGTGAAACAATACAAAGATTTGTCACAAATGATTTTAATGAAGTATTTCCTGTTGGTGATAAAGACTTTCCAAGATATTTAGTAGTTTAGTATTGATTTATTCATGGAGCATAAACTACAACTATTATATTTACCTTTCAATTAAGTGTCATTTATCGACAAGATCATTATTCGTTGACATATCTTGCAATGTAGTATTGCATGAGTCGTAAAAATTGTTTACATTTTGTTTTGTTGGTATCGGAAAACAATCAAGTGCATTGTTATTGACATATTTACCAGAACCGTTTTGCTGTTATTGTAAAACTGCTTTTTCTTAAACGGAGAGAACCGTCTCAATAGAGTGTTAGTTAAATCAAATTAATTCTTTTCCTAATCTTTTCGACTCGTACAAGAAACAAAAAGCGCTATTCGAGGGGTTGTGGCTGATAGGAACACTTTTGTTATGATTTAATGTACCGCTCATTTGAAAATGGAAATTCTGTTAGAGCAAGGATGAGCGTTTTTTTTTTCTGTACATAATGAAAACACACCAAGCTTTTTTTTTTAAAATAATGTAAAACACTCTATATATTATCTGCAATAAAAGAAGCATACCTTATGGCATTTTTCACAGTGTTGTATTACTAGTAAGCTACTCCAGGGCTTTCCTCACAGAGGACGTTTCAAGGTCAAACAACGGCCCCACCTGGGTTGTTTTTGGTGAAAGTTGAGCGGCCATTTTTAACTTATCAAATGATATTTAATCACATTGAAAGTATCCTTTCAGGAAACAAAATTCAAGACCGTTTTCCTTTTGCAGTTACCTATAGCTTTTTGTGACTGGCAAACTCCACACTTTGTTGTTCAAAGGTACTGAGCGAAATCTGGAGAGAGTATCACGTGCGAAAGGGAGCTCCAACTGAGTACCGTGGGTGCCTGCTTACCCTACTTCCTCCTCCCCACCCCTGGCCAATAATTTCTTTCTAGACTCACATTATATATCTGATGGAACAAACAATAATTGAACTTATTTTTAGTCAACGTCTGCTTTTTTATCTTGTTGAAAAGACTTGAAAATCCTGCAGGGATAAAACTTTGACAACAAACAACCACTGTGGATTCTTGTTACTGTAAGTCGTTGGGCTAAATTTTACAAAGAGATGGTAAGACAATTGTGGTATTCGTCGTTTCATACCTACGGACGTTTCGTACTTAGACGATTCGTACTCAGTTTGTGTCGTTCTTACCCGAACTACAGGTCAATTTGCACCCGTGATCATCAGCTAAAATGAACGCGGATACCACAAGACTTATGAAAGGACACCTGAACTTCAAGGAAAATTTGTTTTTCGTGATGGAAGACAAAAGATTGTTATACGATTCAGTTCTATATCTTCACTATAATGGTATAAAAATTAGTTGCAATGTAAGTTCATTCACGTTCTATGAATACTAATAGACTGAGACATCATGAGAACCCGGATGAAAAGGCTTCAGTCCATGGGTCGCGAACTCGGCGAACCGGTATGTTAAGGGATAAAGTGGAAAGCGAAAGCGTTGTGAAAATTTCAACATCAGGCTTCACGGAATATTTTGGATATATCAACAAAGTTGAAGTGGTAAATTGGCCACCGTAACGATTACAAAAGCTGACGTTTCGAGAGTTAGCCCTTCGTCGGAGCGAATAGAGGAGTTGTGGGTTGTGTGTGCTTTTAAAGGCAGAGAATGGAGCTACGTTATTGGTGGGAACATGGCAACGAGAAAAACAAGAATAAATTAGTGGAATGAAAAGCGTTCGTTGATCCCTGTGGGATTTAGACTGCCGGTTTGAAAGATGAGCTTTTGTTCAAGATTTTTACGGCTTTCCGTGCTACCTAAGTGTAAGGAAAGACCGCAGATTGCCATATGTTGCTTAGAATGATTAGGTAAATTAAAATGTCTAGCGACTGGTTTCGATGTGTCCTTGTCATTCCTTTCCACGTCTCGAAGGTGTTCTCGGAATCGGTCACCTAGTCTTCTGCCTGTTTCGCCGATGTATATCTTTTTGCAATAAGTGCAAGTTATGCAATAGATTACATTGGCGGAGGTGCACGTGAAGTGATCGGTGATCTTAATGGATCGTTTAGGTCCCGATATTTTATCAGTGTTGTGAATGAAAGGACACGTTTTGCATCGTGCACGAGCGCATTTAAAAGTGCCTGGTTGGTCATTAGTCTGAAAAGAACTTCTGACCAAAAAATTGCCTATGTTTTTGTCGCGTTTGAATGAAATGAGCGGAGGCTGCGAAAAGATAGTGCTTGTCTCTGGATCGTTTTGAAGTAATTTAAAGTTTTTAAGAATGATGGATTTAACTGAGTGGTTGTGAGGGTGAAACGTGAGAGTGAATGGAATGCGGTCGGAATCTTCCTTATGCGACGTTTGTAGTGCTGAATGTCGATCAATAAGTTGGGCGCGGTGGTAACCCGCTTGAACGACAGAAANACCTGAACTCTACGGTCGCTACATCGACGACTGTATCGGCGCTACCTCCTCTACCAGAGAGGAGCTCACTCAATTCATAACCGCAGTCAACTCTTTTCACCCGGCTCTGAAATATACCTGGGAAATTTCTGACAATTCTTTATCCTTTTTAGACATCAAAGTTTCAATTGAAGGTAACTTAATACACTAGTGTGTATTACAAACCTACAGACTCGCATAATTACTTGTTATATTCGTCTTCGCATCCATCTCACGTTAAGAATTCCATACACTCGAACTCTTCATCGATAATGTTCCGATTGAACAAGTTTCCTCTGTGAAGGTAACTGTGGGAAAACATTATCTAGCAAGCTACAAAAACTACAAAACCGTGCTGCACGAGTAATAACTTCCTCAAACTATGACGTAGATGTCGATTCCTTGTTTCACAGACTCAGCTGGAAAGACTTGAAATCTCAACGTCAAATTCAGAACGCCTTAAGTCTTTAAACGGGCTGGTTCAAACATTCTCTGAGGGACTCGGTGAACAAACTTAGATAGATAGATAGATAGATAGATAGATAGATAGATAGATAGATAATAGATAGATAATAGATAGATAACGGATTGAAAACCCTGCCCTCGTCAGTCCGAATAAGAGATATATCGGTACATCTCCAAACAGCTCACGAAGAAATGGCAAACGATTGAATGAACGACTTGCACTTCAAACCTGAAATTTGAAATCGAGAAACCTGTATATCACCAAACGGCCTCTTCCTAATACTCAAAAACTCCTACATTAAATTACCTGAGTGTATACGTAGTACGCCTAGTAACAATTTCCCTGCCTCAGACGTTCCAGTGAGTGCCATGTGGGATATGACATAAGCATGATACGAATTCGAACAATGTAATATGAACAATATTTAAATGTGCAACTCAGTTGAAGGTGACTTTACTGTTGATGTGCATGATAGCTGACAAATACACATAAGAGAATACAGAATCGTTGGACTGAAAATACAAGGACCATAATGTCAATTTACAAGTCTGAAACATCAAGGTAAAACAGCATGATACGATGACTAATTTTGGCGGTGATCACCGTTGCCACTCCTCATACCCAATGTTACAAATAGGTGGGTGCTCTCTTGTTACTTTCAAAATATCTTGAGGGATAAACACTTCTCTTAATAGCTTCCCCAGTTAATTGACTGTGCTGTTTTTGTCTAGTGATCAACTACCCACAGGGAAATTTCTTAGAAAATCACCGAACCGATACCGACCCCGACTGCGAGTTTCTTGAGCTCAAAGAGGGGATGTCATTATCATGGGGCAACTTATCAGTTGTGATCAATAGAAGCAGATAGTAAAAACTGAATTTTACATACGTAGGAGACGCATCTCAATAGATTGTTGTGGGAACTCATCTTTACCGTCATTTGCTTGAAGTCGAAATCAATTGATTCCACCTCGAAAGGTGAGTCTCATGCTCTTTCACTAATAGTTTGGTTCGGACTAATTCCAAAATATCAACTTTTTCTTTTTTATTCGATCAGTAGGTATATAGAAGTCGAGCCCGAGGTTTTATCGTACGTTACCGTCGATGAACGGGAGTTAAATCGAGCGAACAATTAAGAAATTCTTCAGTTTTGCTTACGCCCGGCCTGTTGTCTTCAGTCTGAGAATACTAATTTTGTCTAAAAGGGAAATCTATTTCATTCTGTCGACGGAAGTTCTTAAACGAAACTTAACACAAATAGCTCTTTACTTTAACAGTTAAAGAGTTCACTCCTTCAGTCGGGTATTTCGCCAAATTTAAATCTGTCCACTTCCAGAAACTAAGCTAAATTTTCCGTTTCAGAAACATACGAACTGTCTCATATGCCTGAAAACTACATCTGGGGTCGGTCGAGAAAAGATATTTCAAAAGAGCGTTTGCTTTCTTTCTTTTTTTTGTTTTTGTTTTTTTTGCCAACACCTCTTTGAAGTTTCCATTACCCAAGAAATAGAGTTCCAACCAAATAAACAATTGCTTACACATTAACATATGGACGTAACTGTTGGCGAGTGCTGTCGAGTAACGTCCTTGTTACGTGACTCTAAGTTTAAGGCTAAAACATCTAATCCATGGTGCAGTCTGCTCTACGCTGTGACAACGGTTGGCCAAAGTTTCATTTTGCCATGATGTGGTGGCACTGAAAACAGCTTTCAGATTACTGATTTAACGATAAGTGCTCAACCAGCATAAACTAAAATTTAAACAACGACTTAAATGTAGTCTCATCTCCGATCTCAAAAACTTGGATGGTCATATTTATTGAAAACTGCGCAAAAAACGTAATCTTGCTACTGATTACCGATACCAACCTTAGAAAACATTTATTATAAAAATATTATCCCTAGCATTTTGTATGGCATTGTAGTCTGGGGGTCTTGTTCTTCAGCCCTGACGGATGATATTGATCGAATTCATTTAAGAGCTACTAGAATTATTTACAACCTACCCCATAGCATCCACAGTGATGACATCATGAACGCTCCACACTGGAACTCTATTGTTTCATTTTACATCAGGAGACTTTTAGTTATTACGTACAATATCTATCATGGAAATAGCATCGAGCCTCTAAATGACTTAATAGTGAAATCCGAGACTCCTTATGACTTAAGAAAATCCCTAAAAGTTAAGGTTCATAGACCAAGAACAGAAATGGGAAGATCTTCGTTTAAGCACAGAGCTGCACTATCCTGGAACCTCCTTCCCGAAGACATCATGGCATTGTAGTCTGGGGGTCTTGTTCTTCAGCCCTGACGGATGATATTGATCGAATTCATTTAAGAGCTACTAGAATTATTTACAACCTACCCCATAGCATCCACAGTGATGACATCATGAACGCTCCACACTGGAACTCTATTGTTTCATTTTACATCAGGAGACTTTTAGTTATTACGTACAATATCTATCATGGAAATAGCATTGAGCCTCTAAATGACTTAATAGTGAAATCCGAGACTCCTTATGACTTAAGAAAATCCTTAAAAGTTAAGGTTGATAGACCAAGAACAGACATGGGAAGATCTTTGTTTAAGCACAGAGCTGCACTATCCTGGAACCTTGTTCCTGAAGACATCAAGAACTGTTCAAATTTAACTTCTTTCAGGAGAAAACTCAGGGAAAATAAGAGAATTCTGAAATCTATCAGTTTTGCTAAAGCTTCCTGCAGCGTTTCCAACAAATCTGTTGACTTTAAATACTTTTAACATTTACTCCGTATGTTATTAATAATTATTTCTTCAATTGTCATGATTTACATAGTCATTATTTACATTATTATTGTCATAGTTTAATTGGTGGAGGTCCAGATCAGGACGTAATGTCTTGCCTATCCCTCAACCTGCTTCATTAAATAAACTATGATGATGATGATTATGATTCAATAAGGAACATAGTCAACATTCTCATTTAAAAGCAGGTCTAAGGCAATTAAGCTAGATAGAAGGGTGTTTGTAAGAAGCTGTCTCGTTGTTACGTTAGCCTCGCATCAAAACGAATCGTGACCACAATTTTCTGTGAAGCGATTGACCCTCTAGTTTTTTTAAAATATGTGCACTTTTGAGCAGGCAAACGGAAGAGTGTGATAGTATTGATCCATCAAGAAATTGGAGCTAAAGGGTAATGGGGCCTTGTAGAACCACCCAAAAATGCTGCCAGGAGAAAATGCAAAACATCCTTGATTGCTCTTTAACTTCTTTGTGATCAACGACCCGTGAGGCGATTTCAATTTGTCGGAAAATCACCGAGCCATGAAACATGCACTCCAGCTGGGAAGAACATTTAATAAACCTTTAAAGCGTTGCCAACATTTTCGCCACCCGTCACATCCCACGGTGAATAAGAACTGATGATAAAGATACGTATTCAGTAAAAAATGCAAAAGCCCACCCGGTTGGCATGACATTTCAGGGATATACATGAGTGGTTGGAATCCGTGGCCTTTAAGTCACCCGTTTCCTATATTTAACAACCTTCATAATAACTGAAAGTTGGCATTTTACAAATATGCCCTTCTAGTCATCAGTGATCGCATCAAGAAAATAGTAATAAAACTGGGTCGCTTCATAAGTTTTAAGAATAAGTTAGCTCGCGTGATGAACAATTCGATGAATTCTTCTCACATCTATCGCATAGCATTTAATGCTAAAAACATCACATCTTCGGTGTAGTCGTCAATGAGAGGTAATCAGGTTGGTTAATGTCAAATGTTGATATTATGGCAAAGAACTTGGAGAGGACGAGCATTTTGTAAGGGACCGTTTGGTAGTTTGGAGTTTAACTGGCATGAAGTAAGGTCATCACAAAGTTCAACAGATATAATCATATTCTAAGTCACTCAGCAAAGCTTTTCATTGATGCGAATGTCGCACCTAGTGATTTGTGTCAGAAAAAGCCAACAAACATGGTGATCAGCGTTTCGCTGTAACAGAATCAATTATAAGGAAGGGGCTAAGGGCTCCTTGATGTGGGTGATATTTGCATTTGTAAATTTGTTCATCGTGCATGGAATCTAATTATGACTTAAAGCATGCACATGTCATACTTTGAATCAATGTTCACTGCTATTGACTTCCAGAATTCGAGCAATTGTTGATGATGGAAACGTATTGGGTCTGTATCATCTTAACTTTGGCTCTGTTTTCAGGTAGGATGCATTTTTCTGCATAAATTTTGTACAGAGGAATCATCTACAGAGGAACCCCCCTAACTCAAACTCTCAATGGAAAGGAATGTGGGACGAGCTAGTAGGGACTCTAGTTGTCATGAGAAATTGTAGTTACTTCAACCGACATTTTATTGGGGAGATCAAACAACCCGATCAAGCGTTATTGACAGTCATAGACACATGGTCATTATTTATATTATCATCATCATTATTATTCAAAAGTACACGAGTTTAAATATCTCTAGGGTTTTATATACAAGTGTCACATTGCCTTGCGTTGGTCACCAGTCAAACTAGCCTTTAAGCTAAATAATGAAAACAATTAAAATCACCTGACTAAGGTATTTGACACGCTCAGGAGACAGCTATGGCGAGTCTCGACTTAACCCAATGGTTAGGGTTGGGGTTGCAGAAATCCATTGACCTTTTTCCAGTATTTTAATGTTAGGGTTACAGTTTAGGGTTAGGGTTACAGTTTAGGGTTAGGGTTACAGTTTTAGGGTTAGGGTTACAGTTTTAGGGTTACAGTTTTAGGGTTAGTGTTTGAGCAACCACAAGTCAAGTGACAAGCATTCTCATTGCCCGCTTGCATCCCGGGGCAAGTATCCAGATGGCACTGGTCTTGCTGAGCCCAAAACATTGTGCACTGACCTGATAATTTCAAAACTGTTATTTGCAGTTTGTGCTCTAATCCCAAATTGAGCTCTCCAAGGCTTTTGACAACTACCCTTCCCTTCTAAATCCCTATTTTTTATTAAGATTCACACGAAACTTTCTAGTTTCACTGATATCATAACTAGTTAACAGCTTACATAGTTAGAGACATGAAAATAGGAATATAGTGACAAAAGGAAAAATTTATTAACGCTTTATCTACGCTCTCATATCTTTTTTGCGATTCTAGTTGTTCTAAAAGATTCTTCTTGTTTGGTTGCACGCGACACCCCTAGGACCACATCATTTAGGACGCCACTTTATAATCATAATCATTATTGTTTTTATCGCCAGCATCAATAATTCATTTGATATTGTTTTCGGGGTATCATAGTTAATAGTATTTCATTTCTTTTTCATCCTCAAATTTACCTCAGGCAGAAGGTTTGCTACTTTTGCGTTTTGAATTTCGTACCCAGTTATACGCAACATATATCTACGTGTATATCAGCCCACTACCATTATGTCATGCGTTATCTTAAAGGCCAACTTTAATACGTGCTGTAGCCATGCACAACATATATCTTATCAACGTTTTGGTGTGAGTGCTATCGCTAAGTATTTTTACGAGTTTTACGATCAACGATATAGAATACTCGACGACTCTTCAAACCAAACCCTATATAATGTTATTTATTATCCAGCTGCTTTACCTTATGTGCATTCTGTTATAAGGCGAACAAAGCTGAGCAGAAAGAGAAGCTTAGCACGCGCAGCCGACCAGTTTGACAGGCTTTTCAAAATAACCAACTGCGATATTTGTCTTAGATACACGCGTTATTTGCACTCTACGTAGTGCAGTTGCAGAATAATTACTAATCTCGTACATACGATTCCTAAAAGTTATGGAAATGAATTTCCCCTCAGATTTTACCCGAGCTCAATTGGGGATTGTTGCTTTTGCCAAACTTGAAGTCATGAAATAACTAAGCTTTCTCTTGGGGGGTCGCTCTTCGGCCACTGTTTTCGGGGTGGAAGGTGGAATTTAGAATTTTGGTTTTTGTGTGTTTTGCAATGGTTTACATGTTGTGAAACTTTCCGCTAGTTTAAATCAAACCTTTTAGCATGTAGTTTATGAGCTAAAGATTCCAATCGTGTGATAGTTGTTGAAGGCGAAGCCCGAAACAAACATTACGCTTAGTAATCACTAGGAAACAATGTCATAGTTAAGTGTAAATTTATTAGTCGCTCAAAACTTATCAACAACGTAAGCTCACTTTACCCACTCTCTATCACGGTTTAGCTAGCGAGAAGGGTGACCAATGAGATAACAACGTGATAGACCGCTATTAGATTTATGGGCAGAGGAGGGCATGTATTTTGGGATTCGCACCTGTCATTGAATAGCTGAAAAGTCGTTGAATGTTGCAATATCACTCATCAGACCTGGAAACTCTTTGAAGATCAAAGTCAAGACATACCATCACTTCGTGATTAACAGTGGTTTAAGAGACGTGTCCCTCGATCGATTTTCTCACTCTCCGTTATTTTCACGAGCCTGGTCCTTGATCCTTTGAGGAAAACGGGCTCGTTTCTCGAACAGTAGCTGGTAATCGATGGGGGGTTATGGAAACCAGAGATATCATGGAAGAGGTCATGGAACTTTAGGATTTTGAAAGTATACGAATCCTGGTGTTTGTTTCGAACATGTGTTGGTGACTTACCTTTGTTTGTTCCTTTATTTAATTTTTTTTCCATTCCCTTTCTCCTACATATTTTTGCCAAAAGGAATTTTGCGAATGACAGCGAGAACAAAGAAAAGTGGTACAAGTTCAATGTCATCTTTGTAGAGGAATTTGAAATGAACGAGGAAACACTAGAAGCGGAATGTTTAGGAGGCACATACAAAGCTGCAGTTTACGACACTGGTGAGTAACAAATTTGAATACAATTAGAGCTGTGCTTCGCAATATTCCCCTCTAACCAGTAAAACAAGATTCCGTTTGTTGGATGGTAAGATCACTGCAATGATGAAACCTTGAAAGCACTTTGTCTCATTAGGGAGATTCATCTTCCAGAGCCAGGGACAACATATGAGGAAGAAGCTTGATACTGAGCTTTCGATCTACTAGTCTCAAAGAGCCTCTAATACCCGACTTTAACATCTCTACCCTCAAAATTAAAGCAGGTAGAATAATAGCGGAGCTCCTAGCGCGTGCGAAGCACTCACAGCGAAGTCCAATACTTATGATGCTAGTGGTATCTCGTCGAGCCGAGGAAACTGAGTGTATAGTCTTTGTATACTCACATAACGCGGAGGCTCAGGAATCAATATTCTTGTGCAGGGAATTAAGAATGTGCTTGGCTTTCCTTAATGGCTGAATTAGTATGTTTTCGTGTTCAAGAAATTTCCTTTACGTCTTTTCTCCATCTAGCAATATAAAATAGATTTTTTCACTCTATTTTTTCTCCGCCTTCAGTTATTTCTAGGAGAAACTGCAGGCAAATCTTTGACAAGGAGATAACTTGTAGGGGGAAACCTCAAGATTTTTATCCTGAATTTGAGTTTGACTTTGATTGAAATTGGAAGACATTTTTGATATGATATCTCAAGCGAGACTACCGTGACGTCTTCAAGAGAGCTAGTAGATGTTTAAATGCCTGGCAGAAGAAGTATTTGAAATTTTTGCTAATTGTGAATTTACGCGTTTTCTTGCAGTAAACAGTTATCCCGAAACTCGACATCGCTACTGGAAAGGCCACATGCTTTTCTATGAGTCCTCAGACAAACTCAATTCTCAGTACGGCTCTGCTGCTGATGGCAGTGGACTGGTGCGACATGATATAGGCCTGAGGTATGGGTGCACTTGCTGAATACCATTTGAGGGACCTACTATTACATCAGCCAATCAGAAGCCCTATCGGGAAGGAGGAATTGGACATTTTTCTGTGTCGAGCGGAAGGGAATCGCGCTGAAAGCGTAGTGCTTGTTTAACTACGAGTGCAAATAGCTTCTCCAACTGGTTTCTAAATGACCTGAACGCTTGTTCACTGGTTAATTCCCAATGGAGGATGATTTACAAAGTCGTAGATTAAACTTTATGTTCTTTTTTCTTCTTTCTTCGTTTCTGTGAAACGTGAAAAAGAGATTTTATTTTTCATTGACTGTAAAAATATCCGTTTTGTTATCGTTAAACTTTCCCTTACCCACCCTTACTTCCTTTCTTTCCCAACTTCATTTTTCCTGTTATTTTATACCCAGGTCCCCTCCACCGTCCCCATCCTCATCCTCTATATCCTCAAGCTCAGGTCCCCCGTCACCCATCCGAACAGACGGTCTAAATCAGCTAACAGCGTTACTTCAAAGAGGAGAAAAGAAAGCATTTTCAAGGAAAAAATGCCAGCTTCTATCCAGAGAGTGGTTAGTTCATGAATTTTTTTCCATAGTACTTACAATTTTGTAGTACCACTGCTGTATCAGACTGATATCAATTCCGTAACTCACTCGGCATCATTTGGTATTTGTGGAAAACTTACAAAGCAGACTTTGTTTTCGTCTCGATTTAGGTTCACACTGAAAATCTTCAATTCATGCAAAATAGAGATGTTTATAACGTGGATTACTTCAGATTTGTCCTCAACCTGGCATCTTGCAATGCGGTAAGTCGTACACTAAATCAGATTTCCTTAAAGGAGCCTAAACGGCTTGCAGAAATATTTGAGACATCCTGCAATTGTTACAAAAGGTGTATCCCTTACCTAGCCCCACCTTACCCCCCTCCCAGGTACTCTCTTGTGTAATCTAAGTATCTATCCGTTATTATTTTCTCGCAGTTTTTCTACCGATTAGGTTTTTTGTCCTTCAGAAATCTTGTCATGGTAGTGACTTCAGTTTTATATTAATTTTATAGAGAAGTTCGTCATCTGATAAGCTCGCCATCCTGTCCGTTTGCAGTCTGCAGCTTGCTGTTCAGTTCTTATTTAATACCTACTTTAGAACGACGAACAAACTCAGGTGTGTGATAACCAATTAGTTGTCTTAAGATCATAATTCTTTTCGTAGTTACTTTGAATTTCCGTTTAAGTTCATCTCCTCTTTGCCAAACCATAGCCAATGATTAGACAAAGTTTTCATCAGGAAAATATTAAAGCACGATGTTTACATTGCAATCCTTAGTATTTACAAGATCTGTAATATTTAGAACACAGACAGAGGAGTGGTGTTCGTGTGTTGGGGCCATAGTAAAGAACAACAGTGAGGCTTGTGTATGGTTTGTCAACTTCTTGGCTGGAGAGAGAGGCAAAGGTTACATAAGGTACGTTTTCTTCCCGTTTAGCTCGCAACACATGTTTTCTGTACAATAACATCAGCACCATAAGATATAACACTCTTGGCTGTTGGAATGCTTCACTTTGTTTCGTGGTGTTTGCTTCTAAGTGGAATATCTTCGCTTAAGGTGGCTCACAATAGTTTTAGGACTGGGTTCTAGCTGTGCGAATCACGCGCGTCACTCGCGGGATTTTTAAAAGCCATGGAGGAGGTAAACAAACATGGTGGCGCGTAATTTTTTTTGCCGAACTCTATTCACGTCTAATATTCAGGGTAAATCGCATTT